TATGCGAATATATCATCAACATGAACATCTTTTCTGTTCCATTGCAATCCCGTAGAAACGTAATTTATTGAAATCTCATAATTATCAACGTTTCTATCTTCATCTGAATTATTCGCATCTTCAGAGATGGTTAAATCCTCATTTGAAACAAATTGTTCGTTGATATTATTTTTTATATCAACATGCTCGGTTCGTTCATTTTCTTATTTTGAAGAATGAACGTCTTTTGTTTCAAGTATTGTCTCTTGCCTTTTAAGTTTTCTTGGTTTTACATTTTTTGAACCAAGTGGTCTGCCACGCTTTTTGCGTATTGAAGACTTATTTGCACGAGTTTTTTCATTTTTCTCTGAAGGAATTTCAATTCTGGCAGAAGCATTCATAGTTGGAATATGTGACTTTGTCACTTTCTTTGAATCTGTGAATGCGTCAGGTAATTGATTTGCAACATTTTGTAAATGAATTATCTTTTGCACTTCTTGTTCGCATGCATTTGTTCTTGAATCAAGAAAAGATAATCGTGTTGCATTCCATGTAATCTCTTTCGTACATGAGTCCTTTTTCTCATTTTCTCCCCCTAAGGCTGGGAATACTATCTCATCGAAATGACAGTCAGCAAACCGAGCTGTGAATAAATCACCAGTCATTGGCTCAAGATATTTTATAATAGAGGGAGAATCAAAGCCAACATAAATTCCCAGCCTTCTTTGAGGACCCATTTTTGTACGATATGGTGGAGCAATTGGTACATATACGGCACATCCAAATATTTTTATGTGAGAAATATTTGGTTTTCTTTTCCAGTAACCAATTGCAATGGGGAAAAAATATGATTTGCAGCAGGCCTTAGCCGAATTAAATTTGCAGCATGCAATACAGCATGTCCCCAAACAGATGCAGGTAAACTGGATTTAATCAATAATGGTAAACTGGATTTCATCAATAATGGTCTAGCAAATAATGGATTACATAATTGATACTCATCAATGAGTGTCTTAATCTACTATTCTAGAAATTAGTCCTGATTAATTGAATAAATGAACAATCATTAATTTCATAACAAAATGCTATTTTTTAAAAATGCTATTCTTTTTTTGGATTGCTTGTCAGTACTCTCCAAACTTTAAAAAATGAATACTCTTCTATTCCCTCTGTTTGGAAAAAGCCTTCTTCCAATTTTGTCCATGATGTGATGGGTAAAAGTAAGATGTGATGGATTTATTATTAGAGAAAAAGTATAATGTGATAGGTAGGGTATGAAAAAGTAAGGGTAAAAGTGGTTTTTTATTAGAAAAGGGAAGTGTTTTGTTGGAAGTGAAAAAAATAAAAGAGGAAGTGTTTTTGAGAACAGAGGGAGTAAGATTTTTCTTAATACGGAGTAACTTATACTCTTTGTCATCCCTAGATATAATGGACATCATGTTATTCAAAAATCATGTTTTTTTATATATATTATTATTGGTTATTTAAAAAATAAAATATTCTTGCTCCCTCTTATTTTATAAAAATTAATTTTTAAATTTTTTTTCGTCCAACTTATTTTTTTCCACCTTATTAGACCAACTCCAACGGTGGGGTATAACCCAAGTTGTGTAGTCTTCTCCCATCCTCCTTCAAACCCCAAACACAACTTGCATTAATCTGTTCTCAATTGCCCCTTTGAACCCAAATAATATGCGTTCCTCTCGTAGCTTGCAGCATATATTTATTTCTGTTATTATTTAATTCTCTTATTATTATTATTATTATTATTTCATCAATCTTTCTCCTAGTCTTGGATGGACAACCGAGTATTATTTTTTTTAGATCTATCATTTTTGTTCTTTTTTTTTTAAATATGTCGAGTTAAAAGTACTAAGAAAATTAATTCGAAGTATATTGTTAGAAAAAAAATGAGTTTGGGCTTGGTGTAAAGGAATGTAGATGAAGTACTACTTGATTTGATATTTTGTATTTTGAGTTTCAGCTTAGTGTTGATGGTTGAAGATGTTCTTATTCACTTATTAAAATCAAATCATATAAGATCAGAGAAAGTTTTAAATATAAGTACAATCAGATAGGCAGAGGTGCGAGGTTTACTGGGGGGTTTGGAAGAATATGAACCATCAAGGCGTTAACTTTTCGAACAGAGTACCGTAGGCACCCCGAGTCATCCTATAACATTGATTTTCGATGTCATGCGAACCAAACTGCATTTTTATATGAGACAAATAAATGTAACTCCCAAAAATATATCTCAATAAATTTTATGAAAAGTACAAATTATGACGCATGTATGTACATTCCTTTATGAAGATTTCTAGTTTCTTCTCACGATATATTTTTGTGAGCACAACTGATTACATAGATGAACAAAAAAAAAACCAACAAAAATGCCAACTCAGCATTTTATAGCTAGATTATCATGATCCTGACCAAGGGGTATCATTTTGTTATAATTTTTAAATATGAAATATGTTTTTGTTATAAATGGAAGATGGGGTACCATTTTGTTAAAAAGTTCAAAGTTAGCGCGTCTCTTGTTAAAAAAAATTCTCATATTGTGATACCTGATATCTACATTACTTTGATCAAAATATAGATGATCCCTTCTCTTTGAACTTCTCTAGTGAATGCCTTGCCTAGTCTGACCCTAACAAACTCCGTCAATTGTATCCTCCAAATTTCGTTAACTTTAGAGAAATTTTTTCACCTCAATGCAACAAAGTTTAGGAAGTGTAATTGGACGGAAGGCAGAGGTGTGTTAGGACTGAACCAGAGTGGATGATATATATCAGATGTTACGAGGTAGAAACCATAATTTTTTTCCTTGAAGCATAGTAACTGCCATTGAAATCTAATGTCAAAAATATCTTTGTCCATCCGTTTATACAAGAGTCAATAACTAAAAAACTTTGAATACTCTTATACTCCCCCCGTTTCTTAAAACCCTTCATCTTTCATTTTTTTTGTTTTTCTTAAAACACTTCCCCTTTCTATTAAAAAACCACTTTTACCCCTACTATTTCATACCATACATATCACATCATACTTTTTCACTAACAACTAAACTATCACATCTTACTTTTACCCATCACATCAAAGGCAAAATTGGAAAGTCAACTACAATTTAATACTTCCTTATTTTCCCCCAAAGTCAAAAGAGGAACTCTTTTGAGAAACGGAGATAGTAACTTATACTCTCTTTGTTATCCCTAGATATAGATTGCACCCTCTATTATTTAAAAATCGTATATATTATTTGTTTATTGGAATATTTTCATTGATTATTTGAAAAATAAACCATTATTTCTATTTCTTATTTTATAAATTTTTAACATAGTTTTTAAATATACTTGTTTATTTTTTATTTATATACCAAATTTTAAATAAAATAAATAGAAATTTTAGATTTTACCTCATATTAACTTCCATGTAATCTATGATTATTTAGGAACTGAGGAAATATGTGAGTGTTTTTCCGTGCTTATAAGCTGATCAAAATTGTTTATCAATAGTTTTTCTAAATTATAAGTCAATTGATTAAATGTTTTTATTGCTTATAAGTTGACTTATAAGTGCTTATGAGTCAGAATAAATAAGTAGATTTTACCCACTTGTTTTTTAGTTGGTTTTTTGTTTTTTCGTTTTGATTGGAGTATTTATAAAAGTATCTCTTACCATTTATGAATATTTTTAAATGACTTGTCTACAATTGAAGTCATTTTACTTCTTTTAAAAATATTTTAATTATAAGTAACTTATAAGTTCAAAATTATTTATCAGTAATATGTCAATAAGCACAAACACAGAGAAAACAAAATAAAAAAGTACTCCCTATATCATTTAGAATAAAAAAATTTGGAGGTACAAAAATCGCATGTAATAAGCTTCTCTAGATCTTCTAAACTAGGAGGTAAACAATTTGGTAACCCAACTGAACTATACCAAAACTCAAAATTTGGTACGTATCAAAACCAAAACCAATATTTTTATTTAAAAAAAATTCTATAATTGATCCTTTATTATAGAAAATTTTTAATATTTAGTCATATATAATTAAATATTACGCGCGTGACCCTTTTTTATATGTATTTTTTAACTAATGATCTTTTTTAACATACTATCTTAGTATTAATTTGAGGCTAAAAGCATAATTTGATATCAAGTCTAGTTTAGTGACATATTCTAATTTTGGTTATACAGACAACACAATAATCATAATTATGATTGCATATTAGAAGTCTGATAAAGACAACATCCGTGGATAATGGTTGCAGTTGAAAATGATTGACATTCACAAACGACGCGTCAACAGTGACCCATTGGATTGCGTATGACAAGAAAAATATATGATTGTTATAAAATTACACTTTTAACTTCAAACTAACACCAACATTATGGAAGATCAAAAAAATTATTTATGAAATTGGCATTTTTTGTATTTAGCGAATACTGAAATAGATTGAGGGTATTTCTTTGTGCCGATGCTTATTGACTTGTTGCTGGTAAACAATTTTTAAGTTATAAGTTGCTTATAACTTATAACCCAAATATTAGTTTGTGAAAGTAAAATGTCACCCGCACAGGTAGCCCAAGTGGCAAACAATTGGTGAAGTTTGGAGAATGACCAAGGATTGAAACCTGGCAGCGATCGTTGTGGGGGCGACCATCTCTGAAAAATGGGGGGGGGAGGTCTCTGGTGCACACTAGGATATGGTCTAGCTAAGTGTTGTGCTTGAGTCATCGTGATTTACCTACCCTCACATTTCCGTCGGGTCGGGGGTGAGGAGCGCCCCGGGTGAGCGATTTCACCTTTTTGGAGAGTGAAAGTAAAATGTCAAAAAATGACATCAATGATAGACAAATCATGTGGAAATATTCATAAATGGTGATTGACAATTTTGTAAATAATTTAATCAAAACAGAGAAAGGAAACAATTAACTTAGAAATAAATAGGTAAAACTTATTTCTTTTTCTAACTTATAAGCAATCTATAAATTAATTTATAAAGAGAGGAAGATATGTTATAAGCTAATTTATAAATTAAAATAGTTTATAATCAGTTTTTATCTATTTATAAAAACATAAAGGTATTAATTGATTACCCAACCCAATTAACCCAAAAGTCATAGTGATTCGTGAATACAATTTGCGCCGACCAGCCGCCCTCCTTCCTGATAAGTCCGATTCACTCCTTATCTCAACCCTAGCCGCTTCACGCTCTCCGGCGACTCGCACCAGGCCAAGAAGGGTTCTTTGGTAAGTCGTATTTTCAGATCACGCAGCAATCCACTCACATCGAAGGTATAAACCAATATTTTTTTCAGTTTCTACCAAGCTGAATTATTCGGATATCCAGATACACGAGTTCTCCGTGTATATATGTATAGAAGAAATAGAAACTTGCGAAAACCCAAGACATCATAATTCCTAATAATCCCTAGGTTTCATTCCAATCCAACCATCTACGTTCTTTGGTTTCAGTTCGGATCAGTCGCAAATTGCCGCCGGCTGGGAGGAAAAAGGAATTTTCTTTGCGTTATCTTGAAGGTAAATATCTCGATTGGTAGAGTGTTCTAGGGTTACAATGATGTTTTTGGTTGAAATTTGTTTTTTTTGCTTGAGAAGTTTCAATCGAATGTGACTAACTGCATATCGGGATTTGATGACCTCACATATCTGTATTGTTGATGTTTGTTTTGATTGGAGCTTAGGCAATCATGGCGGACGAGGAAATTCGGAACGAGATGAAGGTGGAGGCGAAGGAAGAAGTGGCTGATGTAAGTGTTTCCGTATCCGTTTTTTATTCAGAGTAGTATAAATGATCCTAACAATTTCTCCTTCTGGTGGTTCTACACAGCTGCTTCATGCTGGTAGGGCCTGTGTTCAAATAAAAGTTTGTATTTTGCCGATTTTCAAATTGTTACGAATATCTGTTGCAACTTGTACATGTACATAATGCTGAAGTTCTATTCATTTAAGGCTTCTTATTAAAAGATCTGCATTTGCTAAAAGCTCTTCTACTAAAAGCTCTTTTTTGATCATACCAAACATAGAATAAGTAGTTAGTGTTGGCTTGTTTAGGGTTTTTTTTTGGGGGGGGGGAGGGAGGAAGGGATGGGGAAGAGATCTCTCATAAGTTGATGGGTATCAATTCCCATTGTTTTTTCATATATGAGTAAAAGATCATATATTATTTGCAAAACAAATGATCTTACTTTTTATGATGGCGATGCGCTTCATATGAAACTCTTAATGCAGATTGCTCCATTTGACCCTACAAAGAAGAAAAAGAAGAAGAAGGTTGTCATCCAAGACCCTGCTGATGAATCTGTTGATAGCTTGGCAGAGAAAACTGAAAGCTTGTCTGGTACTGTTGAATTAACATTTTGGCTCCTTGAAAACATGTGCAGACTAATAAAAGAGTTTTTGGGTGTTGCTCTGTAATTTGAGTAGTGTTTTCATGCAGTTTCAGAGGGCGTGGAGACCTCATTTCCGGGTAAGAAGAAGAAGAAGAAGCCTGTAAGTGTTGGAAGTACAATCCATATAGGATTTTTCCTTTTACGTTCATGCAAAGCACTTATTTTGGGTTGGTTATTGTATACTATTCCAGACACACACCGATCTCTTGAATGATGAGACAGATAATGCAGTGGATGACAAGGATGGTTAGTTACCAATTACTTTAGTCACAGTATTTCAAATATCAAAATATGCTTCTTTGTTCTCTTAGTTACAACATATCGTGTGTTAACACAATGGTGATTGTAGATCACTTTGGGGACAATGAAGAGGCTGAAGAAATCGTTCTCCATCGCTATCCATGGGAAGGAAGTGACAGAGACTACACATATGAGGAGGTAGATAGAAATTGTTTTGCATCGTTATCCTTGGTATCATGTATTGGTGTTATTTAGTAGTTATTGTCTTTTGTTGAGGCAGAGTAGTAAAGAAGGAAAATTATGTGTTTTAAAAGTAACCTATAAAAAAAGATCTTGAATTTTTTTCACACAAATGGAATCTAACATAAACTTGTGCCACAAAGTCATTTTTTGCATGAACCCGCACTGATAAGCAATTATAGTGGATTAATCAGTATTATAACTGCTTTCCACTGACCCAAACATAGATGTGACTAAGGTGGTGGGGATGAAGATGGCTAGTTTGGGGAAGGTAGCATTAGATGTCTTGAATTGTTTTGTAACAGTTCAGTTTAATGTTTAAACTGCTAAAGCTAAATACTACTCGGCGATGTATTTTCCAAAGGAACAAAGTTAAATTCTAAAGCTAATGCAAATCATAAAATATTGAATGCAATGTGTGCACGTCAAACAAGATGTGAGTTTTGTTCTGCATGTGAATTTTCCATAGGGTTGTGCTGTCAGATATGATGCTCTAATATCTGTGATAAGTTTTCTACGATAACATTGTGTGTTGGATTGGATTCTTTAGTGGCACCCTTTCCCGCTTCAAATAGAATGCCAAATGATAAGCAATAAATAGACTTCATTTCTGTTTAGGAATTAGAATGGTAGGGTTCTCCTGAATTGTATTGCTGCCAAATATGGTTATTCCATCTATCACTTGTCCATACAATCTCTGTTCATTGTTTGATCTTTTGCAGCTTTTAGATCGGGTTTTCAATGCTCTTCGTGAAAACAACCCTGAACTTGGTGGAGACAGGCGTAGAACAGTCATGAGGCCTCCTCAAATCCTTCGTGAAGGCACAAAGAAGACTGTCTTTGTTAATTTCATGGATCTCTGCAAGACGTACGTATATACAAAGATATATATTTTCCCTACCCCTCCGCATGCACTCCCTTGCTAAGAGATTATGTTCCATAGTTTTTTTTCATATTCTATTTTTATTCTATAGTTTCTTATGCATTCAGTCTTTAGTGCACATTTATTTAGCTCTCTCTCTGTGTGTGTGTGTGTGTATATAGGTTAGCTTTGCATTGGTCATTAGTGAGCTTTGTAGTGTAATGTGGTGAGCTTTGTGTCTTCTCATTGAAGCACCTTATCTTACAATAAGGTGTCATGTGACTGGAGTCGATATGTATGTATGTATGTATGTATGTATGTATGTATGTATGTATGTATGTATGTATGTATGTATGTATGTATGTATGTATGTATGTATGTATGTATGTATGTATGTATGTATGTATGTATGTATGTATGTATGTATGTATGTATGTATGTATGTATGTATGTATGTGT